AGCCAAGGCCAAGGTGGGGCAGAGCGTGTACTGTGGAGTGGCTTGTCTGGGAGAGGGGCAAGGACAGTGCAAAAGAGGAACCAAGATACTAAAATCTAAGGAAACCACTGCATTACACCAAATGCCACTTCTAGATACCAGTGTTGATGGCCGCTTAGAGTTTAAAATAAAACTTCAGAAAAGCCCCCTCCTTTAGCTGTTGCTTTGTCCTGGGGGCTGGGGAAAGAACATCACCAGGGATGCCACTGTCCAGCACGGCCATCTGGGCTGGGCACCTTGAAAGTTTGGGTGGCCCTGAGCCGAGGTGACACTAGATAAGCGTGGGACTGGGAGTGAGGTGACGGTCACTGGAGGCACCCCAGCCTCTGTTGGTTCATGGCCCTGCTGCCTGCCCTGAAGGCTACTACCTTGTGGAGCCTGGCTCAGGTGGGCCTCCGGCCCCTGTGCACGCTGAAGGTAGCACCTCTGGGCCCAGTTTCTAGGCAGCAAGGTGCTGGGCCGGCTCCTTGGTGACTCTGGCCCATCCAAGAGGTATGACGTGGGCTTGGAGGGGCTCAGGGGAGGCCAAGATAGATCTGCCAGCTTCAGCAGGCCCAGGACCCCTCCTTTGAGGCATGAGCTTCCAAGGGGTATGGGGGCCCAGGTCTGCTCAGTGTCACTGGGGGTGCCCAACAGGCATTGTGTGGCTGCAGTGTCAGGACTGCAACCCGACATGCACACGTGCTAGGTAACCTGCGTCTCATCTTTTGAAGCCTTGGCTCAGGTCACCGCTCTTGCCACTTGCACATTCGCTAAGCGTTTCTTGTCTACCCACCTGGGAGAGGCACTTGCCAAGCATCACAGGCACATTAAATGTGACACTGTGGCCGCCCTTGGAGAGCCACACTCTGGCCTGAAAACAGACCAGGCCAGCAGACAGACAGTGAGGTGAGTGCCTCAGGGGAGAGAACCAGGCGGAGGTGTGTGGGGTCAGGCGCTGCTGGCATGAGGGAGTTGGCTTATATGGCCCAGGCAGGAGCATTCCAGCAGTGGCACTGCATGGCCAAAGCTGGTGGCCTGGAGGGGCCTCTTGGCTGGTGGGTATATTGTTCAAAAGAGACAGCAGAGGAGGACAGGCTGGAGACAGTTCCTGGAAGTGGGTCCCCACCAGCTCAAGGACACTTGACCCAGTGCCCAGAACCATTGGGGGCTTCAGGAAAGAAGAGAGTGTGTGGATGGGAGGGGTCTAGTTGGAGAAGGAAGGAAGAGACCACATAAAGGGCAGGACAAGGGACTGACATGGAGCTGGGAGCCCACTTTTCCAGCTGAAGGGTAGATGGGGTGCTCTGGATACAGAGCAGTGTGGCTGGGCAGGGGCAGGTGATGGAGGCGCCCTCCAGGCCCCTGAGCTTGGGCTGGTGCCCACAGGCCCTGACCGAGGTAGCCTGCTGGGGGGGCGGGGAGCGGGGGGGGCAACAACCAAATTTTCTAGAGGCCTAAAGGATTAAAAAAAAAAAAATCTGAACACACTACATGGTTTAATTAAACAATTTTAATGTCAATTTCCAAATTGTCTCATGCTTCATTTAACATTCCTTTCTAGCGATATATATGTATCACAGTTTTATTGTTTTTACGCCATTTTCTCATCTTGTATCAACTTATGATCTGCTTTCCATTTCCCTTCTCAAGGGTGAGGCCATCCCCCACTTCTGGGCAGTACCCTAAGCTGAATGAGCTCAGGCTTCAGCTGCATTACTGTGAGCCCAATGGAGTCCCCCAGTGCAGCATGCCAAGCCCCTACATGCAGGTTGGCCCCACTGGAACATTGGCCCAGGGGACATGGAGCCCTGCAAGGACAATTCTGGCAGTTCCCAGATCAGTCAACTGGAGCGGAAGCTGGTGGGAGTAGGCCTCCTTCCAAGACCTTGAAGTGGAAAATGCCCCTCCAAGTATCTGTGAGGCCCTAGTGGTCTGTAAATGGGCCACAGGATGCCTGAAGGCTACAGGCTTTGTCAGGTTTTAGATACTATCTTTAAAAAATAATGTCTATTTTAAAATCCATGGCCGTGTCCCTGGAGGACATCTGGAGGACAGAGCATGACAGAAAAGGGTGACAATCACAGAATGACACTCATCTTCCTCCCTGTGCCATTGGGCCCTGTGAGAACCCTGACCTTCTCCACCCCTGCCCACCGCATGGGCCCCCAGGCTCTCTCTGGTTCTTCCCACTCCTCAGCTCTCTCCTGTCTGCCACAGAGCCTTTGCACAGGCTGCTCTCTCTGTTAGGAGAACCCCCACTCCTCTTCCAGCTGCTTTCTTGTCCCCAAGTAGGCCCCCTGCCCCTGCCTATCTTGGCTATCTGTGACACTTAACCCAGCTTGTAAATGTTTTCTTTAACCTAGGACTTGTTCATGGCTTCCTCCTTGCTGGAATGACGCTGCAGGGAACAAAGGCCTGTATCACTCACCTCCTTATCAGCCCAATTCCACCCATGGTCTGTCATACCGTTCACTTCCCAGTAATTTTCGTCCAGCAAATCACGAACCAATCTTGAGCTTCATCTTAACTTTTAATGAGGTAGGTAGAGTGAAAAGGATCAGGGGGCTCAGGTGACCCCAACCCAGGATCCTGCTGCAGTTTTTGTGTCTGCCCCGCCCTTCCCTGCAGGTCTTCATCCCAGGCCCTGGGCTCCCCCTGGGCCTTAATTGCTCTTTGAGGACCTTAATTACCAGCTGTGATCCTCCACCACTAAGCAGTAGCATTAAAGTAAATGTTTTCTTTTTCTCGAAAAGTTCTCATATACAAGTGGAGGTGGGGCTGAACAGTGAGTGTCCTGTGCAGGGCACCACCTGGGACCTGCGCCGGAGCTGCCATAGTCTTGCAGCTCTAGTACATTCCTTACCCCAGGGGCTAGTGTGCCCTTCCCAGGGCCTGGTGTGCAAGGAGCAGGGCACAGATGCCCCCTGGGATCTTCCCTGCTCCCTGCACAGGTCCATCGTGTCAGGTTACATTCTCCCCAGTGCCACCTTGCAGGTGGGGAAGCCCAGGCTGGCAATTACCAGCTTTCAGGTCTGGGACCCTCCAGATGGGCCCTTATCTCCTATCCAATACAGCAGCTGGTGAGGCCTGCAGGCCACTGAAGCCAGCGTGTAATGATCAGCCTTTGTCTAGAGGAGGTGGGGGGTCTCCTCTCCATCCTGAGGGTGGGCTGGCTGGAATGTGGCAAAGCCATGCACCCCTGTGGAATTCCACTGTGAAAGCATATAGGTGGTCCTGAGGAAGTGAAAATCTGGTCAGAACCTCAGGGAAGGAGCGGGGTGGGGGTGGGGGACAAACACTGGGGTGGGGAAAAGTCAGGAGCCAGCCCCAGTGCTGACACCTCAAGGGGCAGTGATTTGACTCTGGGACAGGCCTTGTTAGCCTTGGTATCTCAGGTGGTGGTCTTTCTGTGGGCTTGGTGGGGGCCTTCCCGATCTGTCTGGTCCAGGCCCTGAGGTGCCGGCCAGACACAGGGAGTGAGCCCCACAAGGACTCCTCCATGGAGGGACCCTCGGAGCACAGAGGCATTGGTGCTCCGTCCCTCCTGTGCTTAGTATGAGAGTGGGGGACTGCGGGAGGGGCTGGCCTTCCTGCAGGGTATCATAGGTCTCTGTAGAGACCCAGGAGGGAATGGGAACCAAGTTCGTAAAACCTGGTGTGCGCGCGCACGCGCGTGAGAGAGAGAGAAAGAGAGTGAGTGTGTGTGTGTGTGTGTGCGTGAGTGTGTGTGCGTGTGTGTGTGTGTTGGGGGAGATGCACATGCAGGGGCACCCAGAATCCCATCCACAGATACAGCAGCACATCACACGCGCACGGTTACACCCGGGACACACAGGCAGAGGGGGAGGGAGACGCAGCTCGCAGTCACAGCCGTGGCACACCGCCCACGCCGGCCAGGCC